TGAGCACACACAACAGACAATGTGCAGGTACTTACACCATGACCATACTTTTGGCATTTGAAACATCTCAGTGGATTCTGGAATATACGTTTCCACTTTGATGACAGTAACCAGCGCTTGATTGACTTTGGAGCAGCTGAGAAAAAAATGAAAACAAGTAAGTGTTGGTTTGTTGAATCTGGTTGTATTTTCGGGTAGTGAAACGTTTGACGAATAACACACCTTGGTCTTCATCTCTCAGTAGAGGCAATATCAATTTCCATCATATCAGCAAAGTCTATCACGGTCTCACAATGCCTTTGCTGGTGTTAAGTGTTCGGTGGGCAGAGACTGATACTGGAATGCCGACAAAATGATTTAGTTGAAAGGAGGTTGTTTGCCTGGTGCCCTAGTGCATTCAATAAGTAAAGAACCAGAACGTAAAATCGCTTAACATTTCTCACATCTCCTGCAATGCCTTGTATGCCTTTAGATACGGCAAAAGGTTCAGCTTTAATGGAGTATTGTCAGTGGTCTAAATTACAATAAATCGTGGCCCAGTAATCAATAGAGGTGGACAGTCTTTGGTTGTTAACATCAGGATCCAGTAGTATCAAGAGGACGCTTTGATTGTTTGAGGGGGGTTCGTAAGCCATGGTAAGGTTATAGTGTTTCCGTCGTATTCTAGAAGATATTGTTCGGGATCCAATGACAGTGGCACATGCCACTGCGCCACCATCCTTGGACCCATCAGTAAATAAGGATTTGTATGTATTACATTTAGTTTTTAATTGATTATATTCTTGTTTATATTGTAATTCATTAGTTACAGATTTCTTAAACTTTGTCAGAGTTAGGTCAACTTCAGGCCTCACCCAGTTGCCAAGACGGAGAAGAAAGAAGACGGGAAGGAGCTATATTTTCAAGCTCAATGCCAGCAGCAGAAAGAAAGGGCTTAATTCTGTGCCCAAGAGGCGGAACAATAGAAGGTTTTTTGTTGTATATATCCTCATAGAGGGGATTAAAGACACAGTTAAATGCAGGGTTAGACTCGCTAGAATATAGTTTAGTAATGTATTGTAGAGATAATGTTATACGGCGTTGTGTAAGAGAAGCTCATCTGCTTCAACATATAGACTATCAATGGGAGAGGTTCTAAAGGACCCAAGACAAAGTCTTAGGCCGGTGGTGGACTGAATCTAAGAGTTTTAAATTGCTTTTACAGGCTCCACCATATACGATTGAGCCATAATCAAGCTTCGAGCGGACAAAGTGATCTGTAAAGGTGTAGGAGCGTAGCTTGATCCCTCCCACCTTGAATTAGACACGACTTTCAATAAATCGAGTGCCTTCTGGCATTTAGTTTTTAGAGATTTAATATGCGGAAGAAAGGTTAAATGGGAGTCCCAAATCAGACCCAAGAATTTGGCCTCTTTTACAACCTTGATGGGAGTGCCATTTAAAAAACAGTTCTGGTCTTTATGAGGCTTATATTTTCTACAGAAGTGTAGACAATTAGTTTTTTAATTTAGAAAATTTAAAGCCGTTTTCAAGACACCATTTATGAATTGTATTAAGACATAATTGTAACTGCCTCTCTATTGTATGCATTTTTACCACAACAAGAAACATTACAATCATCCACGAAAAGTGATCCATCAACTGCATCATTTAAAACTTTAGAAAGACTATTTATTTTAACACTGGTGACAGACAAAATACTGCCTTGTGGGACACACTGATCCTGATTATAATGATCAGACAGGGTTGAACCCACTCGGACTTGAAACTGCCTGTCTCTTAAAAACTGTGATATAAAAGGGTAAACGACCTCTCAAAATCCGAAATCATGTAAATCCTTGAAAATTCCGTGCCAAGTAGTATCATATGCTTTCTCCAGATCGAAGAAAATTGATGCTACGTGTTGTTTATTTACAAGAGCATTCTTAACATAGGATTCTAGTCGTACTAAATGATCAATAGTACTTCGGTTTTTTCGGAAACCACATTGAATATCTGTGATAAGATTATTCGTTTCCAAATACCAGACTAATCTATTGTTTACCAAACAAACGCAACTGGTTAACGATATAGGGCGGTAATTGAGGGATCTGTATGATCCCTGCCAGGCTTTGGTATGGGGATTATAATGGCATTGTGCCACGAAGGAGGAAAATTTCCTGAAATCCAAATATGGTCAAATATTCCCAAAAGTGTCAAAAGACATGAATCAGGCAAATGTTTCAGTAACTGGTAATGAATGTTGTCTTCACCAGTTGCAGTATCATGAGCTTGCTCGAGAGCAGTGCGTAGCTCATGCAATGAAAATATTTCATTATAATCTTCACCGTTGTTAGAGTCAAAATTAATTCTTTTTTTTTCTTGTCGATTTTTATATTTCTGAAATTCAGGGATATAATTTGATGATGAAGAATTTCTGGAAAGAGTTTCACCAATTTTATTGGCAATATCACACTTACCAGTTATCAATTTATCACCTTCTTTAAGATGTTTAACAGAAGACTTGAAGCCTTTGCCTTTTATTCGCTGGACCATATTCCACACCTTAGACATGGGTGTGCGCGAATTAATGTTGGAAACATATTTCCTCCAAGACTGGCGTTTGTTTTGTTTATAAGCTCGCCGTGCCTTGGCACTAGTAATTTTAACATTATTTAAGTTATGAACTGTAAGATGTCTGCGGAAGTATTTTTCTGCTTTCTTCCTACACTTTCTTGCTTGTTTACATTCATTGTTGAACCATGGTTTACGAATGTGAGGAATTACAGAGGACTTAGGAATTGACTGGTCAGCAATTTCATTTAACTGAGCTGAAAACAACTCTATCGGATCTGATACATTTATAAAATTTTCCGGCATTAATTTTTCCATACACAATGTTCCATACAAAGACCAATTGGCCTTATTAAAATTCCATCGTGATAAAGGTGGGTCATCATCTGGTGTGATTGATTTCAGGACAGTTGGGAAGTGGTCACTTCCGCAAAGGTCATCATGAACATACCATTCAAATTCGTTGTAGACATTTGAATCAGCAAGGGACAGATCAAGTGTAGAATAAGTTCCCGTACCAGGATGTAAATAAGTGTTTGAGTCGTCATTAAAAACACACAAGTTGTTATCAGATATAAAATCCTCAATAATCTTGCCTTTATTGTTTGTACTTGTACTTCCCCATAGAGGGTTGTGCCCGTTCAAATCGCCCATGATGATACAGGGCTTTGGTAGCTGATCATAGAGATTCTGACGATCAGTTTGTCGAAGGGCAGATGAGGGTGGAATGTACAAAGAGCATAGAGTAAACGCAATGTGCAGGCTGAGGCGAATAGCTATGGCTTGGAGATTGGTATTCAGGTGAACATCACTATGAATGATGTTATATCTAACCAATATAGTCGAACCCCCAGTCGCTCTATCTCCTGGAGGAGAAAATGAATGATAACAGCTATACTGCCGTAAATCAAATGTATCAGTATGTTTAAGATACGTCTCTTGGAGACATATTGCCGACGGTTTAAAGTCTTGAACTAACAACTGTAGTTCATTAAAGTTATTTTTAAGTCCTCTGCAATTCCATTGTACTAGATTAGGGGAATGGCTCATGGCGGTGTAATTATCTAAGGAGCAATAACAGGAGATAATGCTCTACCTTTCTTTTTCGGTGAGTGACCACGCGTATGGCCACCAGCGCTCACACATGTGGATACTTCAGTATCCATATCTTCAAGCAATCCATATTTATTATGGAATTGCACCGTGTCTTTCAATGCCTTTGGCAATCTGTCAGATTGAATCTGTTTTTTCTTTATGTCCACTTTAGTAGACGATTTGTTTTGATTTGACTCTGTTTGTGTTGAAGATGTTCCTCTTTGCTTTATTGGTGACTTATCTAGATCTGTGGCCGGTTTGGAACTTACTGTATTTAGTTCAATTTCTGAGAGGGATTTTGGATGTTCAGATTTCACCCAAGTAAGGTCCGTCTGACAGAGAATAGATGCAGTTGCTACCTTTTTGGCTGCTGAAGCATATGATGGACGTGTTGGATCAGGTGCAAGTAGTCTGGCTTCTTTCCTCGCATCGACATAACTGAGTCGTTTCTCAGTTTTTAATTTCTGTACAGTGGCTTCATATTTCCACACAGGACAGTCTGTTGAAGATGCCATATGTTCACCTTTGCAATGTAAGCACTTGATAGTGTTTGTACATATTTTGCCATCATGATCAGGTTCTCCACACCTGAAACAAGCTAACTTATTCCTACACGAATTTTGCCCATGGCCAAACTTTTGACAATTAAAACAACGAGTAGGGCGTGGGATAAAGAGATCCACCCTCATGGAAAAACATCCAACCTTAATAGAAGTTGGCAGAACCGGGGTGTCAAAAGTCAAAAGATATGTGTTGGACGGGAATACACGATCATCTTTACGATATGTAAATTGTTTGGCCTCAAGGACACCTTGACTTCTAAGCTGAGATACAATGTCTTCAACAGATTCATCTGCGAGACTTCGGTCTCTGTCACGGATGAGACCTTTGGAAAAGTTAAGGGTCTTGTGTGCTGAACATGTAATTGGAATGTCAGCTAATTTGGCTGACGTCATGAGGTTAATTGCCTGCGATTTCCTGACACATTCAACTAAAAGACCTCCAGACCGTAATTTGGTAACGTTTTTCAACTCACCTGCTTTACCTTGTAATCCCTTTTCTAACAAAAATGGTGAATAGGAAGCAAGTGTTCGGTCACCCTTTGCTTCCAGAACAAGAAAGCGTGGCCAAGTATCCCTTTCAGAATATAGCAGTTTAGTAACCACGTCATCTTCATCAGAGTCAAGCTCAGAATTAGGGCTTCCACGGGTACTCGAGTACTCGAGGACGAGTCGGGTGTAGCTGGACTCGAGTCCATTTTCAAGGACTCGAGGACTCGAAAAGGGGAGATAACTCGAATTATTGACGTTGACGGACTGTCTGCCATGTGCTAAGCATGAGCGGCCGTTAACGTCTATTATTACCCACGTGGTACTTCGTAAAGGGGTTTCATAACAAAGTGTTCTGACACATATGTGTCATAACACCTTCGATTGATTTGATTGGCTAATACGTGAACTTTGACATTACCGGTACTACTTTCATCACTCATTCCATTCATGTTTTTCATTCAGAAGTTTTCACACATTCTGAAAGCATGTAAAACGAGAACACTTCTATGAAATTAAATAAAAAAATTTATTTAGTGTAGTTACAAGTACAGGTGTTCAGTCCTTTAATAACCAAAATTTCTGTTCATAAAAACGAAAATAAAACAATCTAAATAAGTAAACAAATACGTCTGCTAGGACTATCGGGAGTGTAAACAAATATGGCGTCGCCCGTAAAAGTTAATGACTTGGTCAAAATTGACGGACAACTGGTTGGAAGAGTTGTGAATATTATCAGGCCATTGAATACATTCAACGTGTATGTTGTCAGGACAGCACAGGGAGAAAAGCAAGTACCTAGATACAGACTGAAAGTGTTGCCCGAGACTGTTTCGTTGGTCCCTCCCCCAAATTTGCCGATTGGCGATTATTCTGATCTGTCACAAGAACTGATTAATGAACTCTTTAGAGAAGATGAGAATGATGTAGATCTTGGCCTAGATGCTAATTTCGACACAAATGATGAAGTATGGAATAAAGAAATTGATCGACTTTCTGACCAAAAATGAAAATGAAAACACGGCAAAGAAAACAAAATATGACTTGAAAACGGTCTCATTTTATTTCCAAAATGTTCTGCAGGAACACAAATCTCTTGAAAAAATCCCCCCCACTCGAACTGAATCAATTACTTTGCAAATTTTTCATGGATGCCAAAAAAGCAAACGGGGACGAGTATGAGCCATCGTCACTCCGCGGATTTCGATCAAGTTTGGACCGCCATTTGAAGAGATTGAAATATCAAAAATCAATTCTACTTGACCCCGAATTTGCTCGATCTAGGGAGGTGTTTACGTGTAAATTAAAGCACGTGAAGGCGGAAGGGAAGGGGAACTTACCTAAAGCCGCCGAGGCCGTGTCACAATCCGAAATAAACAAACTTTGGGAAGTGGGTCAACTCGGAGAGGGGTGTCCCGATGCTATTCTTAACACATTGTGGTGGAATAATACCATGTTTTTTGGCTTAAGATCTGTCCGTCCACACAGAAATATGCTCTGGGGAGATGTCTCACTTCGAGTTGACAGTGAGGGTCAGGAGTATCTTGAGTACTGCGAGCGACAAACCAAGACCCGCACCGGTGCTAATCCGAACGACACAAGACGGATTCCCCCCCGAGAGTATGGGCTGTACCGAGTGACCCTGCCAGATGTCCGGTAGCACTGTACAAGAAGTATCGTAGCCTCCGTCCTCAGAATTTCTCTTCAAATGATCATCCATTCTACTTAGCTTCACACACAAAGGGTGTCCCTCGTGATGGCGAATCTTGGTTTAAGCGACAGCCAGTGGGGAAAAATAAACTTGGAAACATCATGAAATCCATGGCACAACACGCACACTTGTCAAGTGACAAACGCTTGACTAATCACAGTGCGAGAAAAAACCATGTTGCAAACTCTCAGTGAACATAACTTTGCACCTACACACATAATGCAGCTTTCAGGCCATAAAAATGTTGCTTCTGTGAATTCATATGCCAAAGTTTCGAATACACAACATCAAAAGATGAGCGGCACCTTGGTATCTCGATCACTGCCACTGTCAGCCGCGTCCACTTGTCCTCTCGCACAAAACGTGTGTTCTACTGCCACTGCCATGCCTCCCGTGGTTTCTCATCTAGAGGTTGATAACACTTCTCACAGTCAGAACACAATCGGCTTGAAATCCTCTTCATTCGAGGTTGTAGGCAGTGTGTTTTCAGGCCCAATTTACGGTGGAGTATTCAACATAAACATCGAATCTCGACAAGTGGGAATTCCAGGCCGAGACGAGCCAATGTCCTCCGCCAAGCGTCGCCGTATTATCTACAGTGACTCGTCCTCCGATGAAGAATAGCGTGTAAGCAATGACAACGACACTAACCACAACTATTTGAGACATACAGTTCCCTGTTATTTACATTTGGCTTCTTCAGTTGTGTGTGTCGCTCCTAATGCGTAACTTTTATCTGCTTGTTTGTGAACAATTTTCAACACGACTATCCCGACAGTGATGGCCGACTGACGTTCAGGCGATATTTAGGTCACGTAGTTAAATTGAAAAGGTTTACAGTTTACAAGTGTTTTGATGAATTACATTATTGTATTTGAAAGCAAAACCTCTAATGAAAAGAATTAAATTTTGATTACGACTTGATTCCGTCATAATTTATTTATTATCTAGACTAGTTAAAGGAACTACATTGCCTCTACGCAGCATACGTTTCCCTGGAGTGAAACGGTCGACATTCCAATCACCAATATGATATATTAATCCGCGCAGTGCGGTTCTATATAGGAAAGCAAGATATTGCTTTATTTTAACAATATTTTCATTTTAGAACGTGGGTAATAAATAGGATACAAAACTCGTTCCCCTTTCATATCAAGTTTATGTCCCTCGTGAAATAATTTTGCTTTGTCACTCGCTAAAGCTCGTGACAAACCAAAATTATTTCACTCGGGACATAAACTTGATATGAAAGGTGAAATAATTTTGCTTTGTCACTCGCTAAAGCTCGTGACAAACCAAAATTATTTCACTCGGGACATAAACTTGATATGAAAGGGGAAGCTCGTTTGATATCCTATAAATATTAAGAAAAAGATATAACTTTATTATCCCGGAGGAAATTCTCATACATCCAAACTGTCTCAAAATAAATATATACACAGTTCACAAAAATAAACACAATAATTACATGCTCAAAACGAATGCTATTTACAAATAAAACTGACATGATATAATTCAATTAACCACATAGGTAAAGAGGCTGAATAATTCTAGTTCTAAACACATCATGGTGATTCAAAATATTTGTTGCATTCACGAATACTTGATGGTATGAAAGACTGTCGCGCTCTGTTTTGAGGGAAGGTAATCTACAGCAGCGTCCAGAAGGAAGTAGTTCAAAATGGTGAGATCAAATATGTCAACTATCAAATCTAATTTTAGCTGTCTTTTTGACTATACTCGAAATACACTCCAGAAATTTTGCAAGCAGTATTAACAATTTTGAAAAGTCTGTTTTTGTTAAGATGAGACAGATCCCCATACCAACATAGAAAATTGTAGGTCAACACACTTTGAATAAAGGTTTGATAAAAAACTGTCATTACGGTTTTGTCAATACCTTGACGATAATAATGTTCAGAATCAGAAATTAGGCCATTAACAGTGGCGTCATCTGCAAATTTCACAGTAAACAAGTCATATATTGACAAGTAACAGTCATTGGTATACAAAACGAAGAGTACGGATGAAGGAACACAGCCATGTGGATCTCCAGTAGAGGTTGAGGGAAAAGAAGATTGATAGCCATTGACACTGACATACTGAGTTCTATGTACCCTGAATTCTTTAAGCCATCTGATAATGTTTTTATTAACACCTAGATTAAATAGTGTACTCCTAACACGGTGTGGCTGTATGGTATTAGTTGTTACAAGTCTGCAGATGAGAGTAAATATTATACATCGACTGAGATTTCACTTCTTAAAATGATTAGGTAACTATCTTGACAATTGATCGTTTGCTTGAAAGGTATGAATTTCGAGTACTCGGGTCCGAGTCGAGTCTCACCCCTCGAGTACTCGAGTCCCAAAAAATGGACTCGTTGAAGCCCTACTCAGAATCAGATTTGGAAAGTTGCCGTTTTGGTTTTTTTGGATTTTGTTTACCCATAGTGAATTGTATATTGGTTCATCAAATCTGGTCCCTGCCCACCATGGAGCGCCAACAAGAGCGATGTCATACGTATGCGGTGTTCCAGCAAACTGACACCAAAGGGTTACAGAAATGATATACTCTAGTTAATCCAGAGGATAAACCAGATTGGCCCATGAGCCACCGCCTTCTGGGCATGAGCTCTAGGCAAGAATATTAAATAACTTTATGAACACAGATAGTATTTAAAACAAGTGTACCGAGTCAAGACATAGCAAAAATGCATACCACAGGGCTCGGCGTGACCAGCCGATTGATTGAACCGGGCCAGTTCAACCACCCGTCTAGGTGAAGTAAGGGCCGAAGTGGTGTGTTGGGCAAAGGAACACTGTTCCTGGAGCCAGTGCCCTCAACCACCAGAATCCCTTCCTCCACCGACACAGGGGCGCAACCCACGGCAAACAGGTTGGTGGAGCTAATATCCCTCCCGGGTCCACAACGGGGGGTTGAAGGGCGCTTAGCGTTACCCAGCACCCACCACGAGGAGGTGGCCCTTCATGGGTGCCGGCTGACCTTAGTACTGTTATGCGTTGTGAGTTGTCAGGCGTTGCCAAGCAACAAACATGTACTATTAAAATGCAGATCATATGAGTGGTGATACAGTTAGGGCAGAACATGTTTACGCTTGCCTCGAAACTGGTGTCCTCACTCAGTGAATCTTTGCTATTAAATACACCATACAATATATGGAATGTGTGGTGGAACAATCGAGACTGGTGATATCTGGTGTTGTAATTTTACACTAACCCGTGAAGGTCCGGGTTAGAATGAACCTTCAGTAACCCATGCTTGTCGTAAGAGGCGACTAACGGGATCGGTTGGTCAGGCTCGCTGGCTTGGTTGACACATGTCATCGGTTCCCAACTGCGTAGATCGATGATCATGCTGTTGATCACTAGATTGTCTGGTCCGGACTAGATTAATTACAGACCGCCGCCATATAGCTGGAATATTGCTGAGTGCGGCGTAAAACTAAACTCACTCACTCACTCACTTATTTTACACTAAGATTACAATATCAATCACTGGAATGTATGGTACGACAATATTTACATACTGCCGTCATATAGAATTTATCATTGCCAGCACAGCGTTCAACAACAAACAGACATCGTCAGAGTTAAGGGTACCATCGCATGATGCTGATCTTCAGCTGTTTGTTCCAGGATGTTGTCATATTTTACCGCTGACAAGACGCAGGATGATGCGTACGCTTGTGCATTGGCAGAGACGAAAGACGATGGAGATTACGAGACCGTCATGGTCACCAACCGCCGCTCTGACCACGTTGGATT